TATATATATATATATATATATATATATATACTTGTATATATTTTTATATATTTATATTCTTATATACATATATATATATATATATATATATATATATATATATATATATATATATATATATATATATATATATATATATATATATATATGTAAGGTAAGCAAAAAAAGTGAGCAAATGCTTACATATGTATGTATGTATATATATATATATGTATATATATATATATATATATATATATATATATATATATATATAAATATATATATATATATATATATATATATTATATATATATATATATATATGTATATATATATATATATATATATATATATATATATATATATATATATATATATATATATATATTGAGGTAATAAATTATATATATATTAAGGTAAGCAAAAAAAGTGAGCAAATGCTTACATATGTATGTATGTATATATATATATATGTATATATATATATATATATATATATATATATATATATATATATATATATATATATATATATATATATATATATATATATATATATATATATATAAATATATATATATATATATATATATAGGTAAGGGTACATAGTACAAGGGTACTATATATATATATATATATATAGGTAAGGGTACAGTTGAAAATAAGTCTTGTTATCTACTGCATTCAATAACTATTAACTATGAAAAAACATTTAGTAACAATCAACTATGACCCGACTCAAACCCTTATGATTAAGTTCCAGAAATTATTATGCAAATTGCAAAAACAAGAAAAGTTAGATAACAAGACTTATTTTCAAATGTACCCTTCTGACTGCGTCCCTTCACGTTTATATGGAGTCATAAAAGCTTACAAGCTAAAAGCTGTGATTATAGATATTTTAAACAACGATATTGACAACCTTAAAAAATGAACCAAATTAACTCTTAATGATATACATAAAATAATCGAACTCTGCCTCAACCAATGTTATTTTTTATACAAAAATGAAATAAGATCTATACTGAATTCGGCTGAAGTTGGTCATTTTTTGCCAAAGACTTACAGAAGGTATGTAGATGACAGTCATGCAAGATTCGACTGATAAAATATACTTCAGAAAAGGAAAACAATAAAAAAGAGTTAAACTTCTTGGATATAACTGTAACCAACACTAATAACCTATACTATAACTTCAAAATCCATCGAAAGTTGGATATCACTAATATACAGATAAAACCAACATCAAACGTTAATCCAAAAATAATAATGGGTGTTTTTAAAGGTTTTGTATCTCGTGCCATTAAAATTTGTTAACGATGAAATACAGTTTTTAGTAAACATGTTTGTAGAAAATGGATAAGACAGATTGAAGCTTGAAACAACTGCTAAAAACTATATTTAGGAGAGAAACAACTTTTCTAAAATAAACTATAGTAGAAACCAGAAACAAGTAAATATACAGTTAAGCTTCCATGGCTCCCAAGAATAGGTCCAAAACTTAGAAAAGCAACTGAAACCTTACAACGTCAGAAAAACTTTAACTCACACCACCTACGTCAAAAAACATCATATGCGACAACAAGTCAAAGTTAATTCCCAATAGCCATCCCCGTGTCTACAAACTCACATGCTCTTGTGGCAGTTTATACATTGGTGAAACAAAAAAGAAAATTTTAACGAGATGCTTTGAACATCAAAAAAATTTAAAAGGTTAATGGGATGCATCTGGTGCAACTGAACATGGTAGAGAATGTAATGGTATGTTTGATTGGTCAAATCCGATAACTCTAGCAATAAAATCAGAATACAATGAACGTAAAGTTAGAGAATCACTTGAAATTGATTACGCCTCAACATACCAGGAAATAAATCACGCTCCTATACTTCTTAACCCTGACAATGGCGTTAAAATTTCTACAAACAGTTGGAGACCCTTTTTTAAAAAAATTATCCAAAAAAACGGACTTAAATAATATTTGCTAATTATATATTTACATTGTTACTTATCATTTATGGCATCTTTTTAATGTCTTCTTTGACGTTTTTATGTAATATTTGTAACGGTTTTTTGTATTATATTTTACGTCTAATGACGATCTGTGCAAAAACAGGTTGATAAATTACAAAGAAAAACTTTAGTTAGTACGCAGCAGTTGTTTTATGCTTTATATATATATATATATATATATATATATATATATATATATATATATATATATATATATATATATATTAGGGATATGACTTTTTAAAAAAAAATTTCCCTGGCCCAAAAATGGATGAGTTTTTACGCATAAAATGGGAAAATATTAATACTTTCACGATGTTCAAAAAAAATGTCACGCCCCAAAGCACATTAAGATTTAAAAAGGTTTTAAGTGGAAGATTGTCTTTATTTCTGCACAATCTATAAAGCTCCTCCATTACTTTAATTGCTCTTTCAGCACATTGATTACTTCTGGGAATGTTGATTGCTGATGGTTCTGGATTCCAATGACTTGTAAATGTAGCAAGAGGTTTCTTTTTGTTTAATAAAACTTCATGAAGGTCTGAATAAGTGTTTTCTTTATAGGTTTGGTCGTCAAACCAAAAGTCTGCCCACTTGTAAGAAATAAAGGTACATAAGATTCAAGTTTGTTTCTTGTTTTTGGCATAAGAATGTAGGCTAACAACGCTAAAATAGCTCTTGAACTCCACCAAGCATTACTGATATTAGGGATTTTTTGAAATCTTACATTAGGAAATATTTTATTTTGGTCATAGTATCGGTAGGTTCTTGTCAGATGAAACAGAAACTTCATGTCATCTCACCATCCTCCTGTGTCTTTTATTTCTTCTGTACCATTATAAAAATTTGTCTTCAGTGTTTCATAATGTTCTAACAACTCGTTAGTAAAAAAGTAATTAATGTTTGGTGAGTTCGGATTTTCTCCCAATTTTTCTTCCATTTCTAGTCTAAGTATTCTATCCAAGATATGATGTTGACATGGTACAAATTGAGGTTTTTGTAATCCTTTTTTTTGAAAAATGTCCTGAAGTTTTACAACAACACCATTTTTCTTTCCGGTATTGACATTTGTAGTATCTGTCACAATCATTTTAATTGAATTCCATAGTTTAAATTCATCTATAATATCAGCTATGACATTGATAATAGTGATAGATTTTCCATCTATTAACTTCAGTGTGCCCAACTTTATTTCGCTTCTTTCATTTTTAAGAACGACAACCTGATACTCCCATTGGTCTATATGCTTTCCATCGAAGTGTAGACTCCAATTCTCATTCTTTAAATCTTGAATTAAAGTTTCTTTAAATTGTTTTGCTTCATTAAAAAGAGCCTTGTATATTCCAGACTGTGATGGCGCTGGAACATGTATGCCTTCTGAGGACAGTATTTTACCTATTTTAGAAGCTTTCTTAGTTGATACCTTAGCACAAACCACTAACTTTGTTGCTATTTTACAACTACTATATTTTTTACGTCTTATCTTCAAATTATTATATTTCTTCATCTGTAATTTCATTATCTATCTCAAATTGTTCATCAGTTTCTTCAAATTCGGAACTAGAGTTGTCTCTTTCTATTTTACTTCATTCAGTAAATGAAGAAAAACTTTTAGATGCTGAAGGTTGGCTGGAAAGTTTTTGCACAATTGATGGATGAATAGTCTTCTTTCCTGCCAGCTTTGAAGTAGCATATCCAATTTCTCCTTTGCTTTGTAGCTGAATTTCATAAAATCTTTTATCTTCAGATGATAACCAAATGCTATTTTGATTTGTTATATCAAAAATCTCTTTTTGCAGAAGGTCGGCATTCCCTTTTTTTCTGAGACTTTCATATTTTTCTATAACATCATCAATCTTTCGCTTCACTGACTGCTCTGTCAGACATGGGAAATTTAATTGTTCTTTCCACAAACTTATAACTTCTTCTGAAATAAGATCTATCCTTTGCTTTTTGGCTTTCACATCAGTTCTAGACAAATACTTAAACCTGCTAACAATATCACTTTTTAATGGCATTTTGGAATATTCTTGAAAAGATGTTTCTAACATTGGAAACTGTCTACTTTTATGCGAATCTTGAAATTTCACAAGATTTTTTTTATAAGTCTCTTTATTTTTTTCAACACTTGATTGGCAGTATTTGTATGCCATTTTAATTAAAAGCAGCACAAAAAAATCTGAAACTAATTAATAAACAATTAGGCACGGCAGTGAAAAACTAGAAATTATAAAGTGATAATGTATACGTCTGGTATGTATTTAAAATTATATATATAATATATATTAACCCTCTATATATATTTTATTATATATAATATATTAATATAATATAATAAAAAATATATAGAGGGTTATGACTTCTTTAACTTATGTTTTCTGGCCCATATGTAATATGTATAGTATATTATTTTCCTATCTATAATGTATTAAAAAACATTTCAGCCGAGGGGCATGACATTTTTTTTACACTTGAAGGAAAATAAACATTTCTTCATTGTTTTATAGCAAAAACTCATCCAAAAATAATATGGGGTTGTCCAAATTGTATAAAAAGTTAAAAAAGTCATATCCCTAATATATATATATATATATATATATATATATATATATATATATATATATATATATATATATATATATATATATATATATATATATATATATATATATATATATATATATATATATATATATATATATATAAAGCATAAAACAACTATATAATTTTATATTTTGATATTTGTATTTTATCATTTGTTTTTGTTATTATTATTGTACTGATTATATGTTTATTGTACTGATTATATGATTAATGATTGTTAATAAGATTGATATTAACAAATTATAATTAGACTGTCTTTGTTTATTGTTAAATAAGGATTGTTTAACACGTTTAATGTTATTATTTTATAAATATAATAACATTAAACATGTTTAAACTGTTCTCTTATAGATTATTATAGTTGCATTTAAATATTATTTTGATATTCTATTTGTTTTAACAGGAATTTATCGTTTTGGTCTACATTTTGGGGCATATTTCATATTTCATTATTTTGGAATTGTTTTTTAATTTCTTTTACTACAATTTTCATGCTTGGGATATCAAATGAATTGGTCCATATTTTTAATACTCAGGTATATTTAATTTATCTAGGTGCACATGTAGATTTTTTTTAAAAAAAGAAAAAAATGCAATTACATTCATTTTTGTTTGTTATTGTAATTGGTTTTTTTAGTATTTTACATTTTGTAAGGGTATTGATAAATATATATATATATATATATATATATATATATATATATATATATATATATATATATATATATATATATATATATATATATATATATATATATATATATATATGTATATATAAATTTTATTATGATTATTCAATTCAACTATAGATGTATGATTTATACATGTTACGTTATTAAAATCTGATAGGTTTATCCCTAATTTCTATATTTATGCTGAGTTCTTCTACAGCAAATAAATATTACACAATTTTTCAAATTGCTTGTTTAAAAAAAAATTAATGTTTTCTCTTTCAGTTTATCATATATGGTAACTGAAAGAAAAAACATGAATTTGTGTGAAAATATATTTGCAAATCAAATTTTAAAGTCAAAAATTGAAACTATTTCAGTATTTATTCTATTTCTATTCATTTTATTATAAAAAAATGTTTATGTTAATTTTTATTTTACTATAAAAAAAGTATTTTTTTTGCATAGCAGCACTTAAACTAGTACTACTGATGAAACATTGAAAGGCCTCTAGTGTTAAATATATTTTGTAATATTTTGTTACAAATCTTTTTAGAAACAAAAACTTTTTTTGAAGTTGTTATTTTGCTTGACATATTTTTCTTTGTATTGGTTAAATAATATAGTAATACAATAACCTTTTTTTATTTAAAGTAATAAGTCAATATCAATAAAAATTCTCAATATTTTATAGAACATTAACTAAATATTCCCAATATCGCTAATATGCGGTAAAAAATATATTCCTGGCTAACACCAGGAATATATTTTTTACCATGTATTTGCAGTAAAAAATATCATTATATATATATATATATATATATATATATATATATATATATATATATATATATATATATATATATATATATATATATATATATATATATATATATATATATATATATATATATATATATATATATATATATATATATATATATATATATATATATATATATATATATATATATATATATATATATATATATATATGTATATATATATATGTATATATATATATGTATATGTATATATATGTATATATATATATGTAGTAATATACATACTTATATATATAAGTATGTATATAAGTAAAAGATTATATACATACTTATATATATAAGTATGTATATAATCTTTTTAATATTTTCTGCAGGCTTACACTTTTCAAATAGAATCACATGAAAAAGAATTATCAATTGGAGATGCAATGGAGAGTTTAAATAGCCTTCTTAAGGTATTTTTATTTACTTTGCATTCATGTGTTAATTTATGCTTTTGCTTTAGGTATAAAAACGTTGTTATTCTTAGTGTTTTATGTGGGTAATCATACCATTATTCTAATCTTGTTTTGAAAAGATTGACTTAATGAGAGCTGATTTCACTTTTTGGCAACACATTCCATTAATTTGGAGCAAAATTTTGTAAATAATCTCTATAGATTTGGTTTGACATTTAAAAAAAATTATTTTCAACTGGTTGTATATTTGCTAATTTGAATATTTTTTTGAACTATTAAATGTATATTTTGAACTATTTATTGTAAATTTATTTGAAAACAAAATTTCTTTGAATTTTTTTTTTAATTTTATTGAAAATTTATTGCAAACTTTATTTGTAGTTGAATTATCTATTTACTGTTATATATTTATAATATAATTATAATAATTATTCAAATTCTCATTTCTTTTGTGTCTTGTAACAAGATTTAAGATTGTTAATCTTCATTTCATAAATTAAATTTAATTTACATAAATTAAATGTATTAATTTTTGTACAGTATTTTTAAGTGGTTCTATATAAGATATTTCAAGAAATATAATTATATATTTTTTTTAAGATTTTTTAAAATATTTCAAGAAAATTTTTTTTTTTTAAATTTGAATTATAGGATTTTAAATATAAAAACACTTTTTATATTTAATAAAGTTTTCATCCAATAAATTTAATTATTGTTATAAACAATAAAATCCATAAAGTTAAGGTGTTGGTAAAAATTTATCTCATATGTGTTTATCATTTTCATATCCAACATTAAAAGTTTAATAGTCCTTTCGTTTTATGTTGTATTTAATTCTACATGTTGTATATAATTCTACATGTTTTTGTAAACAAAATATAAAATTTTTATTAAACTTTATATTCATTTTTTATTAGACAATATTTAATTATAGGATTTTAATTATAATAAAATGTACTAAAATAAGTATATATTTTTTTAATGTTTAAATAATTTATTCTTAAATTTAAATATATATATATTTTTTATGTTTAAATGCTTTATACTTGAATTTAAATATATATTAATTTTATGTTTAAATGTTTTTTTAAAAGTATTTTAACTTCTCGGATGCTTACTTTATAAATTTAGAATCTTGGATATATGGACTTTTGTATTTTGAGTAAATACTCTGGCCTCCGAAGATCAAAGATCTTTGAGCTTTCTACACCAGGTAAATTTGTTTTCAGTAATTAGTTATTTAAACAAATAAACAAAATTTAAAGTTAAAAACAATAAATAAAACAATAATAGTTAAAATAATAATAATTAAATTTATTGGATAAAAACTTTGAAATTTTAATTTGTTAAAGATGTGTCACATCTGTGACAAATTAAAATCAATTTATAGCAAATTAAAAAATGTTTTAACAATTTGAAATTGTTTGTAAGTAGTTAAAATAAAATTAAATACTTTATTAACCAATTAAAGGGTGATCTTCTTGGCATTTGAGAATGTACAATTGTTTATTTGTTCAGTGGTTGTGATCTTTTTTAATTAAAGTTTTATTAGAGAATTATCACTTTATTTTAGGAAATCAACCATATACTCGTTAGAGAATTATTATTTCATTTTAGGAAATCAACCACATACTTGGAATAGAATATTGTATCAGTGCAATCAAGTTTTAGTTAATGAACAGTCAAAATTAAAAAAAGAACATGAACAGAAATCTCATTTAGATGTTGTCCCAAAAAATGTCAAAAGCGAACTCTTTTCATCAACAGATAAAGTTGAAAGTCTCCCAAATGACAAAGTTTTAGTTTCAAGTCCTTGTAAGTTTACTTTTAGTCGCTTATTTTTTATTTTTAGTTGTTTGTTGTTAGTTTTATATTTTTATTTAAAGGTATTATATTTTTATTAAAAGGCATTATATTTTTATTAAAAGATAATTTTAGTGTTATATTTTTATTTTATTTTTTAAATTTTTATTTAGACAAATTCCCAACTTTCAAGAGTTTAACCGAAAAAAATGTGAGTATATAGCCTTCTAAACTGTTCTTTTAAAATTGTTTTTCAAAATGATAAAATGAACATCTGTAAAAAAGATTTACAGATTGGCCTCTTTACAGAGGTTTGTCTCAGAGTTTAATTCATGACTTTTTTTATAAAAAATAATAGCTAAAGAGTGGCTAAAAGTTGATAGAATCAAAAAAGTAATGAGATAAAACTAGATAAAAAGAAATTAAAAATAAGCAAAGAAATATGAAAAAAGGAAAGAAATATGAAAAAAGGAAAGAAATATAATAAATGAAAAAAAAAAGATTTTAAAAAAATATAGCAATAATCGCCATAATAGTTATTATAAAAGGTATGGAAAATAAGTTAAGAGAGACTGTTAGACTTAAGTAAAAAGAATTTGGCTATATTCAAAAAGAAATAATTAAAAAGTTGAAAGATTGCAGAAGATGATTTGTGATCATCTTCTGGGACCATAGTTTAAAATTTAAAAGTAAATTAGAATAAAGAAGAATTATTTTTTGAACAAAGCATATTTTGACAGTTGTTAAGACAAAAATAAAGATTATTAGAGGAATATTTAAAAATAGATAAGACAGATAATGCACCTAAAACAGTACTTAACAATAATAATAATAAAAAAATTGTTTTATAAACACTAATATGAACAAAGATATACAACAAATATATCACCAAACAAAAACTTATAAAACAAAAAATTGATTGCAAAATAAAAAGTATGCTTATAACAATGGAAAGCCTCAGAATGAAAAAAAAGCATTAATGCTAATATGTTAACATAATTTGTGTAGTGATTAAGTAATAAACATCTTTTCAGAGTCACGTCTGTTATTACTGGCGTTTCGATGAGGATCAGCACTTATAACTAGTTTATCACGTCAAGCAAATGTCATTGACACTTTTGCTTAAAGTATAAATACACATATACTATTTGAATTTATTAAATAATGAAATCTCTAATTAAAATTTTTTTAAAAAAAGTCTATTGAAGTATGACTATAAAAAGATTAATGCTGAAAAAATTCAAAATAAGAGAGGGACAAAACAAGTTTACAAAAATCGAATTAATTTGTTTTTTTGAATAAATTAAAAAAGAAAAGTTCTGAAAAATTCTTCAAGTTTTAACAGCTTTTAGTCAAATAGTTCAAAGTGAAAGAAAAAATTTAATTTGATTTAATTTGTTCTTTAAAAGTAAATTTTAACTAACAACTTAAATCTTTTACTTTCATTATTAAATGTTAATCATTTAAGTTTTTATAAATATTACTTACAGAAAATATATTATTTTAAATTTTATTTTTTAATTATAATGGTAATAAGTTACCACTTAAAATGTTATGTTGCAGCCCATTTACAAATTTGTTTATATAATTTTTCTCTAACTAAACAATTTTTATTAAACAATTTGACACTCAATTAATTTTGTTTTGTTATAATAAATGATAATAATAAAAATAAGCGAAAAAACCTAAAACAAGTTTTATCACTTTAACACTAACAAAATGTTAACTCATTATTAGTTAGATAATTAAAAAGTCATCAAAAATATATAACTGAAAAAAGTCTTCTCTTTTACAACACAAAACAAAATTTAACTATGGAAGTTTTCTTCTTATAAAATTATTTAATTAATGAAAACAAAAAAAATATATATATATAATATATATATATATATATATATATATATATATATATATATATATATATACATATATATATATATATATATATATATATATATATATATATATATATATATATATATATATATATATATATATATATATATATATATATATATATATATATATATATATATATATACACACACACGGTATGCAAAAAAAATAATCGTATGCTTAAAAGAAAAATAACAATTTTAAAGATTGCAAAAAAAAGAGTTTTCCGATAAAATATTCAAAAAAATGAGTTTTCCGATAAAATATTTGGAGTTTTTTTTTAAATAGCTTATTAACTATTGTTTTAAGAATTTATTTGCGTATTGGTGAATTAATTGCTTTTCAAACCTATTAAATTTTACACAATTGATCTAATGATCCATAAAATTGACTGCAAAAAAAATAATCGTACAGTTCAAAAATAATGTTGAATTGATCAAATTCCATAGATATTAGTATAGAGTGGGGCCTCCTTTAGCCTTGATGGCCTAAACTAGACAATTTGGCATTGAGTTTACCAAATTTTGGGTCTCTTCTTTTGTTATATTATGCCATGCACTTATTATAGTTTCTTTAAAATGGTCTTTGCGTCTAAATGCTCGGTTGCCAATTTTTCTATCCAAAATATACCACATATTTTTTATTTGATTCAATTCCAGAGTGTGAGATAGCCATTCCAAAACATTGATGTTATCTATGTCAAAGTATACCTTTGTTTTCTTAGCGGTATATTTAGGATTGTTATCCTACTGGAGAATGAAATCACTTTCCATTCTCAATTTTCAAGTATATGGTTGCAAGTTGGCTTGAAGATTTCACAATACATTGAAACATCCATTTGGTCATTAATAAATGTAACTTTCCCCACTCCTTTTCAACTCATACTATCCCATACTATCACATTTCCTCCTCCATGCATTACACTACCTCGCAAACAACTCAATTTATAAGCTTCTCCTTTTTTTTGCCACACCTTTTGGACTCCATCCGATGAGACGAGATTGTATTTTGACTCATTTTACTACAAAATGTTTTTCCAATATGATATCAGTATTTTTGAGTGCTTTGATGCAAATTCCAGTCAATGTTTCATTTGTTTACAAGTTAAAAAAAGTTTATTTCAAACCACTCTATATCTCTATATCCTTGTTCTCTTATACAGTTTCTGATTTTTTGAGGAGTCATTGTAATGTTATAATCTTCTTGAATTTTCAAAGTTAATTTAGCTGCAAAAACAGATTTATTTTTCTTTACATTAGTGATGACAATAATGATATTTTGATTAATTGCACTAGTGGTTTTGCGTTTTTGTTTTTTAACAGCAACATTAGCAACGGTTCCAATCAGAAAATGCTTTCTAAAAATTGAAAAAAATGAAGTTATGCTTTGACAAAAGTAACATCGACGTTTTTGAATGGCTATCTCAAAATCTGGACTTAAATCCAATAGAAAATTGGTGGTATTTTCTGGACAGAAAAATTAGCAAACGAGCATTTAGATGCAAAGACAACTTGAAAGAAGCTATAATGAGCGCATGTCTTACTCAGCGATTATTCTTGATACTTTGTATCAAGAATAATCGCTCTCGACACGTGAAACATGCCCTTAAATAAACTTCTGGGCGCTACAAATAATGCTAATTGATCAACCAAATAAACGAGCTGGATTTTTTACTCTTGTAACGAAACTAGTGAGCGCTATTTGTTGCGCCCAGAAAATCATTTACAGGCGTGTTTCATGTGTCGGAAGCAATCACTCCCAATTCATCACAAGCACTGCTAGTTCTAATTAGATCTGTCGTATATTAACTATATATAGTTGTCAAAATACAATATTTGTATCTTTGGTTTTTATTATTTGGTTTTTTTGCTACAAATATTTATATTTTATGATACCGCAAAGTTTTTCATTTTAATTTTTTTTTGTCTTTCCATAATTTACAGACCTGATTATTTAATGGAAATATGTCGTAGTCAAGATTATATCATGCCGACGTCGACGTCAAATATTTTAAAATTGCCTTAATTACTAAATAAAAGTGCCATTTTCATTTGACAAATTATAATTTAATATCATAATGGTAAATAGAGTTTATTTAATAGTTATTAATTTTATTAAATAACATTTATTCATTAAAATTTTGTTTTTTAAAGTAAATGTTATTATAGAAGACAATACACTTTGTTCTTTACATTAAAAATACTTTACATTCCAGAAATAGTTGTATGCCACTTTATGTTTCAGCATCATAGAGCTATAAATTTTAGTTTTAAAAGGTCTTGTAATCTTTTTTATTTTTACAAGTGTCATAGATTTAAAAATTAACCAAGGATTTATTTTCAATTTGTTCTAATTTTAGGTATCAATAAAAAAGTCAAAAGATAACAATCTAAATATTGCATTATGGTGTATTGAAGGTACGAATTTGTTTTTGAATGCTTCACATAATATAAATACCAAAGATTAAACCACTACAAAATTGATTATAAAGTGCATGATAGCATAATACAGTAACTATCTGTAAAAGAATTACCAGTAGTTGTCATACAAGATAGTGGATACCTTAATTGAGTTTTTAAAACTATTAGAAATAATAATAAATATAAAAGCAGGAAAATAATTTGAAAACATAGTAATGAAAAATAGAATCATGAAATGATAATGAAAATAAACAATAAATAAAAGATTACATAATCTATAATATATTAATATTGAGTTTAATGCTGCTGCCATTGTTCTTTTGTGGATGTTTTTCATGGAACTCATGGCAGCCATTACACCTGAGTTAATAACGAGAAATAATTTTTTTTATAAGAAAATGTAAACAAAGTATATGCAAATATTTAACTTCAAATTATGTAATGTTAAAAATTGTATCAAATTTTACAATTTTACTTTTATTTTAAAATTTTATTGCAACAATATTTTCTTAATTTAAATTTATTTAAATAGAGTTTATTTGTTTTATGTTATAGTTTTTTGCCTAAATAATGTTAAAACTTGAAAAGTAGTATGTCTATATAGCTGTAGTGTTTCATTTATTATATGCAACAATAAATGTGTGGAATAAACTTACCTTGATCTGTATTATGCAGATCATGGTAAGTCTTTTATTCTACATATTTTCAAGTCTATTTCCACATTTGTTTTAATTTTTTTATGTTCATTATAATTAACATTTCAAGCTAATAAATAGTTTTTAATTTTTCTATTGTTGAGTCAGTTTTTTTTTTTTTTTTTAAATATTTTAAAGACCAGAAAAATATTGAGTTTATATCTCTGATATATTATCTGAGTGATATCTTAGTTAAAACTCGCCAGCCACCTATAATCCATGCTATAGCATGTGATCAGTGAAATTGGCTTCTCATCAAGACAAGAATAAATGGTATTATTATCAGCAAACAATGCCATCATAGGTGTGAGAATTTCTGGGATATCATTAATGTAAATTAAAAAAAGTGTAGGGCCAAGGATAGAACCTTGAGGAAACTCTAAAGTTTTAGGATATGAAGAAGAGTGCTGTCCATCGAGGACAACTTTGATACTACGATTGGTAAGAAAGGATTCAATAATCTTAAAGATGTCACCTAATACACCGTAGAAAGAAAGTTTATGGAGAAGACGAGCATGCCAAACTTTATCGAAGGCTTTTGAAATGTGGAGAGCAAAATAATAAAATATTATTTGCTAGTGTCTGTAGAGAACAAAAAGAAAAATTTACCTTATTTCATTTGTAGTGAGGGAAAAATAATAATTTGAGACATTTTTCATCATAGGCATAAGTTTTGGCATCTTCAGCAGTTTTCTACTCTTGAATTCTTAAAAATACAAGTGAAATTTTGATGCCTTTGTCTTTAAAAATGCTTTTTAATTTTATTGCTGGCATTTTGCGATTTTGTTTATATAATTTTTGTTTTTTCTGTCATTTCTAGTACTTATTATTCTTTTTCAATCACAGCAACGTGTTTTCTGTGCTTATAATTTGTCCTCCATTTGACCCCAAGAGACTGACAATTTTGGCAATACTTATTTGAGTGAGTTATGTTGCTTGCAATAGAACATCTACTTTAGCTAATTTATGTGGGGAAACACCACTTTACACATTATTAATCCTAAACAACCAAAGCATTAAATAAGTTATTATGTGACTGCATGATCTAAAAAAAAACATAAAAATTAATCTTAGAAAATTTCTTTTTATTCCAAAATGTTTTCACTGCTTCAAAATCAGATACTTCAAAAACTGCATGTCATCTTTCCATTATTGTTCATTCTCCTGTTTTCAAAGTTTAATGTTAAATAGTCGTATTTACTACGTATTGCTTCAACAAAATAATATGACAGTTCAGGTGAATTGGTATTACCTCCAAAAAAGTCATCCAGACATAACTTTAATAATCAATCTATTATAGAGTGTTGACAACAAACATATAGAGGTTTCTGCAAGCCAATACTTTCAATATGTGTCATTAATCTCTTGATCACACTACTTGTTTTCCCAGTTTTAACATTTTCAGCGTCTGTCACAATCATTTTTATAGATACACATAAATCATATTCATTCAAAAGTTTTGAAGTCCTTCACAAATTGCCTCTAATTTTCCATTCTTCCATTTGCTTTAGCCTAATCTCTTTTTTATTGTTTTTTATACTTACTACTTGATTTTTCACCCCAGCTATCTTTTTTCTATCAAAATGCAAACTCCAATTTTCAATTTCAGTTCAATTTTTTTTTAATTCATCCTATTCATCATCTAATTTATTTTAATTCATCCTATTCATCATCTAATTCATGTAACCTTTTACTTTCTGATGACTGCTATATAGATTGCTGGTTGAGTAAGTGCAGGCAAATTGACGCCAGCCATCTGAAGTTGTTGAAACACTGTGGCAGCTTTTGGTGTACTTAGCTTTGCTTGACAAACCAATTTAACAGCCTCGATTGTCCTCTGTTTAATTTTTCATTTATTAATATTTTTTCAAAATTCATAATCACTACTTACTGACTCATTTATAGAATACATTTCCTGTTGATGGCATTGGTGGAGCGTTTCCAATTTCAATTTTCTTTGAACGATTTACTTTTTTTATGATCATTAGGCTTTATTGAAGTATATCCCACTTTATCAGATTTCTCTAATTGCTTTAAATAAAGATTTTTATCTTCAGAATGCAACCTAAGTCCATCCTCTTTCATTATATGTAATAAACCATCAAAACTATAAGTACCTGGTTTTTTGATTTTTATTTGTCTCTTTTTAATTATTTTTTCTATTATTCTTGGCACTGAAGGGAAACTTTATTATTATATGCTTATCAAAAGTAAACCATTTTTTTTGTAACTTGGTGTTCAGAAACCTTCATGTATAAATATAAATCGTATTTCACGTATAAATATAAAATATTATTAAATGCAAATCAACTAATGAAATGTCATATTTAGTTTTAAAAAATCATTTTAAATTTATATTATTTCCTGTCATTTATGATTTACTTTCCTTATTTAGGTTTATGTAATTTGATAGCAGCTTCACTTAAAGAAGATCGGTATGGAATTGTTCAAAAGGTTTGTTATTTTTATTTAGTTAAAGTGCGTTAACAGATATTTTGATCTATAAATTATTTATACAGATGATGAATTGCATGAAAACCACAAGTTATTTTCTCAACCATCAATTACTGTTTGAAGTATTGATATAGTTTTTTTTTATTTTTTATTGTTAATTCACTTCCCCAAGGCCATGAAGGTTATTACAATCAATAATACTTTAATAACTTTGAAATGTGAACCTTGACAAATAAGGCTGCTGTGAGGAGAAACAAGTTGAGAGTGGCACTATCAAGGATATGGTGGGGATCAAACTAGGAACTTCCTCCTTATGAGGCGAGCACTCTACCACTACACTACTACCACATGATTAGATATAGTATTTTTTGCATAAATGAAAATTGAAATTTAAAGTTTTTTTTTTTTGAAGGAGGGAGGTGGGTGGTTGGGATTTAATTAATGGGTTAAAGTCAGCTTGTAGTGTTTAAGGTTTCTCGATGTTTTTTATTTCTCTAGAAACGAGAAATTGAGAATTAGCTTCTTGAGAATTCTAGAGAAATTTTGAGAAATGTTGAAGTTGTAATTTTTTTTTTTTATTTTAATATAACTTATGTTCATAAAATGTATAAGGACAAACATTGGATTAAAAAAACAGCAGAGTAACAAATAAAAAAGTTAATTTATTAATATAACAAAGAAATTGTATAAAAATATGACAAAAAAAAGATATACTATAAAATATACAAGTGTAACAAGTTTTTAATTGTTATTTATTAGTTAATTTATAAAAGAAAAAAATACTAATACAAAAATGTGAAACGAAAATGGCAATTGGACAAATTATAAACACATAAGTAATAATTTTTATTTATTGTTTTTGAAGTAATTTTTTAAAAAACATAATGCATTTTATGATGTGTTTGATAATCTATTTCTTTTTTTTTGTAACAAAATCATTAGCAGTCTAGAAATTACATTCATTTTGTGTTGAAGTTGGTTTTATTGTAGATAATACATCTTATAGATTTTCCAAATTTTGTGACCTTGTTCCAGTTGTTTGAAGTATGCTGCATTCTTTTTTAAGTGTCTGATAAAGATTCTGGTTATCATTATCGCAACGTTGGCGTGGCATAATTTCTTTTGTTGTATTTATTATAGCTAAATTTAGTTGTCCTTCAACTGATAGCTCAGTGTTGAGATTGCTGCTGGTGGGCGTTTCTTCAGTTAGATCTTCTTTGGAATTGGATAACCCAAACAATCTGTTGAATATTTCTCTAGCAGTTTTATATATATTATTTTTTGAGCAAGATTTAAAAAAAGAAGAAGCATATTTTTCATCATTTGTTGGGTTATGTAAAAGTTTGTATAAAGATACAACATTATCATTTCTCCTTTTACTTATTTCTTCTTTGATACTGTTTAAGAATTCTCTAGTTATTTAGTTTTTTCTACATTCTTCCTCTAATTTATTAAATAAAAATTTTAAGGCTCCTTCGGCCGTTAATAATGTTGCATCTGCTCGACTTAAAGCTTCTACAGTTATTCGTGTTGGTTTTAATACAACTAATAGAATTTTGGCCATTTGGTTCTAATACAACTGAAAGAATTTCGGCCAACTAATAGAATTTCATCCATTTACATAACACGTCAATTTCTAAATCAAAGTCATCTTCTTCTGTACTTTCAATGCTAGCGTCATTGTCGCTATCTACAGTTTCATGCTCATCTACAGATTTATCTATTTCATTTTTCTATTCAGCGTAATATGTTTTCAAAACTTCTAGATGTATGCCATGATTGTAGCATAATTGCTGAAAGCAGGTATTAATCTACCAAATTTCTTCATAACTTCAGCACCATCGCTCATAGCCACAATATCTTCTTTTAAAGATAGACCAAACTCTTCTAATTTTTACCGCATTATTTCCAAAGTTATTTCTGATGTACAACTTAAAATATAAAATATTGCAATAAATTATTTCTTGAAAAATCTTGCTATCATAGTATTAGTGTTTAATTAAAAAAAAAAAAAAACAGAAATCAATAATATAAACAATCGCCTTCTATCTAAATCTTTCATAGATTTGATTGATTCGAATAACGAACAATATTATATCTACCTATTTCTTTCACATCATACAAGTATATTAATAAATAGTAAAAAATTTATCTTTGGTTATAGCCTAATGGTAAATTTTGACAGTTGCCAATGGTGTATAAATGGTATAATTGTATGACGCAAAGGACGCGCACTAAAAAGTGCGCAAATTGCATGCGCCACACAAAGTGACGCATGCAATTTGCGCTTGCGCAGCATTTGGCTTATGCACATGCAAAGAACATAGAACTAATTTGAATTAGATTAATCATTAAAGCAGATAAAATTTTTAATTTTTTTCTCAAGAATTTTTATTCAATATCTCAAGAATTGAGAAACAAATAAAGAAAAAAAAAAGAAGAAAAAAGCAAATGAATTTTTCTCTAGAAATTTCTCTAGAAAGTATTCTCAAGATTAAAAACTTAATCAGCTTGCATGTTGGGTACCAGCTTGCATGTTGGGTTATTTTGGACCAGCTTAGTAAAAAGGGCTAAAGTATGTATTGAATCAATTAAAACACTAAAGTTTAGGTACAGAGTAAACAAAATATAAGTACAGAGTTGGCAAATTTAGGTACAAATAAAACAAAACGAGGTTGAGGTACAAAAAAAAACAGAAAAATGAAATCTTAAAACAAGGTTTAGTGAAAATCTTTATGTAAAGAGCAAAGAAAATAAGAACAATGTAAACAAGTTAATTTATTAGATTTTTTAATTTTTAAAAATTTGGTTGTTTTTTTTTTAACTGCAGCAAAAGAAAATTAATTTTCTAGTGAAAAAACTAATAATAACTAATAATAATACATTTCTATTGAAAAAACTAATAAAAACAAAGAATAAAAACGAACAGATGTTCAGAATAAACACAGTTTTATTTTAAAAAGAAAAAGTTTATACACAAATCATAATCAACAGTAATTCTATTGTTAAAGTACCTAAAACTATACTATACCTAAAACAAAACAGGGCACACAAGGAACAATAAATTACATATGCATAGATATATCAATATTTAAAATGAATAAATATAAAATGATACTAGGTATGAGATATAAAAAAAACATTGCTTTTGTGTAATCTTAATTTATTTAGTGGTGGTAATAAACTTCTCTTCAGAATCACATTTATTATTACCAGCGTTTTCTAAGAGATTCTGCACCAATACCTAATTTTTTCCATCAGACAAACATCATCGCCATTTATGCTTAACCCCAAGAAAAACTATTATACGATGTACATAAAATAAAAAATCCAGTAAAAAAAAAGAAATAAAAGCTTTTTTTACTTGATTCTTAATTTGCCAATGACTTGATGTCAAAACATTCATTAGCAAAGATTATTCAAAAATGTTGATAAGGTAGTTATAGCATTGATACTTGAGCTAGCAAATTCTACAACCTTGGTGTAGAATTCGCTAGCTCAAGTATCAATGTAGTTATACTACTAGATCTATCTCTTGGTGTAGAATTCGCTAGCTCAAGTATCAATGTAGTTATACTACTAGATCTATCTCCAATGCTTGCTTTTAGATATTATTTTTATTCATAACAAATGAGAATGTATCCCACTAATATAAGTTTTTGTCTGGAACAGTGCATACTTAATGTTGCTTTAGCTTTTAAGAACTATCTGAGTGATCATCCAGTTGCTTATTTACATATAAAATATAAAAATGAACGGCTAACCAAATCATTGGTTGAGTCTAAACTTATACTTTCAGAATTTTTTTTTGCCTTAGTTCTTGATCCATACAAAAATAATATTGTTGAGATAAGATTTTGTACGAAACTGAGATTTTAAAAAAAGTAAAAAATTGTAGAAGTAACATGAAATTTTGAAAAATTTTTTTTAAAAAAAAAGGAAAAATCATGAAATTTTTGAAAAATCATGAAATTTTAAAAAAAAGTTGCAGTTATAATTCTCACCCACCTCTTATGATGCTCGAAATTTAAAAATTTTGCTAACATCAAATCGATGTTGGCTCGAATAATTCTAACTCACCTTCTAATTGACATAACTTTTCTCATTTGAATCTAGTCATAACATAGCTGCTGAGTTCTCTGGTCAAATCATTAGAATCCGTGGCTTGGATTTGCTGTCTTGTTAAATTTTTTTTTCTTTGTTAGTGGCTCTTTAGTACAACATATGAAGTTTTTTGAACAAGTTTTGAAGACACAACTTCAGAGCATTGGGAGCCTGTTCGACTGTCTGCTGGTCATTACTGTCATCATTACTGGACTGAGTGAAAAAATGTTTCAATTTTTTCACAGAATCTTTTTACTTCTTCAATAATTTCTTTATTATATAAGAGCAAAAGTGACACTCAGCTCTTTAAGAACTCTTGGATTGTTAAGAAAAGCAGACAGTTAAGATTGGACATCTATTAAGAATCTCTTTTTTGATTTCTTCAACCATGAATAAAACTTTCCTCCATTTGCAATTCCTCTAATAAAAATTCTAATGCCCCTTCTGCAATGCTCAAATCAGAGCCATCACCACTTATGGCATCCATTGCCACTTATGGCATCTAAATCATGTTTAATTTCTTGAAGTGTCTTTTTAAAGCTGGCATCATGCCATAGGATGTCTTTAACATTTTTCAAAATCAAGGTTCCGACAGGTTTTGACATCAAGAACTAGAAATTTAAATTTGATTCCAAAAGAATAAGTATTTTTTTTAAGTTCTGACTAATTTAAGGTTATACTTTACCTTAATTACTTATCATAGTAACCTTAAATTAGTTATTAAACATAATAACCTTAAATTAGTTAATAAACATAATAACCTTAAATTAGTTAATAAACAATTTGATTTTTTATAACCTTAAACTATTATGTCATCAGAATTTGTGTCAACATTATTTTCTTCATAAACTTTTTCGTTTGTTGCTGAACAAAGCATGTTAGGTGAGCTGCATAAATTCTTAGATATCTTGCTAACACGTCACTCTGTCTGATTCTTCACACTGATCTGATGAAGAATCCTCATTTACTTGAATAATACCTGTAATCTTTTTTCATGTTAGTACTCGTTTCACACAAAGGTGGATTCCATGATCATAGCAAATATAATTAAGTTGTTGTGAGAGACAGCTATTTTTAGAGCAAGCATTCCCCCCATCCATAGTTTAACATATACAAACTCACTCAGGATCAATGCCAAAAGTCATTGCAAAATCTTTAATTTTTCAACATCAGCAACCAGGGTTGCATGGTTTTAACCGAATGGTTTAAACCATTGGTTTAAACCATGGTTTAAACCAATTAAAAAAATATTGGTTTAAACCAAACTTATGTTTTTTTAAAAAGATTTGAACTTACAACAGGAAACTAAGACAAAATTATGTTCACAAATATAACTAATCTTCAATATAGATATATTTTTTTAAATCCATAATTTTTGTTTTTGTTTTTTTAAAAAATTTATCAATATGCTTCATCCAGGATACACTCTACCTAATAGAACTCAAATTGGAGGAGAAATATTAGAGTTTACAAAGAAGAAATTGAAAAATGTAATGTATTGAATGGGAAAATTGCAGCCATGTCTCTAGATGGCTGGAGTAATCTACATAATGAACAAGATAAGATTAATATTTTAGTAAAAACAATCAACACTTCTGGTCATTCACGTACTGGTGAATATCTTACACAATTAGCAAGAGAAGCAATAGATTTTGTAAGACATAAATTTGGATGCACAGTAAAAAGCTTTGTGACTGACAATGCAGCTAATATGAAATCAATGAGACAAGCATTGTCATCTGAAAGAGATATTATCATAACTTATGGGTGTGCTGCTCATATGCTGAATCTTTTAGCAAATGATCTTAACATTGAAAATGTGTGCAAGCATGTTACACAAATAATAAAATATATAAGAAATAATCATCAAGCTGGAGCACTTAATAAATTAAGCGTAGGGACAAAATTGCCACTTCCTACTGAAACTCGCTGGAATTCTGTATGTGATTCGCTTGAAAAATATGTCAACAAATGGAACATTATTTTTACAATATTTGAAAAAAATAAAGACTTGGATCCCGTGATTGGTAAAAAAGTAAGTGATATACAGATAAAGCGAAACACAGAAGGTTTATTGAAAATATTGAAACCAATTGCAGTAGCTCTAAATAAGTTGCAAAGAGATCAAACAAAAGTGACACTTGAAATTTTTAAAGATTTGATGAACAGTTAATCATTTTTATCAAACGAAAAAAAAAAAATTGAATCTAGATACCTTCAGACTGTCAGTGATGCTCATTTCCTGGTAAACACACTAGATCCTAGATATTTTGGATATAATCTTTCCGATTAAATCTGATTAGAAAATGAAGCTGCCATGAATTTTGCAGATAAAGAGTTCAAGAATTAGTTACCAATATTATTCAAATTAAAAACCAAATCTACTATAACATAATGGATATTGAATGCTTTTTCTACCCCCAAACCAATTGGGGGTAGAAAAAGCAGCAAAGCTTGTATTTATATATAGAACATTAAACAATGTTATATAGTAATTTTGATGAAATACAACAATAATATTGATAAAAAATATAGTTTACTCAAATAAAATACGTTATGCTTTTTTTAATTTTAAAGGATAACTAAATACCACACTTTTTAGTAAAAACCTTATTTAAACTGAAAAAACCATGGTTTTTTTGTTGTTTTTTTTAAAAAAATATATTGTTTATGGTTTTTCTCAAAAAAAAAAAACGGTTTTTTTGCAACCCTGTCAGCAACATTTTAGCATCATTGCCCATTAATCATACCAATTTTTGATTGTGAATGTTGGGTTCAAAAATATGGATATTTATAACTTTAATTTTTTTAAATGTTGCCTAATCACTAAAGTAAAAAAAACTTTCCTCCTTTGGATTTTGTTAGCCTTATTTCCTTCACTACTTTGTGAAGTATCACATATGCTGCTGAGCTATAAATTGTCTATGTAAATATCTAATTGTCATTTAAAAAAATTGACTTTTTTTGATGTTTTTGAGAGATTTTTTCCATTTTAATATTTGAATGAAAAATGACAAAAATGCTGCATTGCATTTGGAAATTATAAAAATGTTTAATTTTTTAAGTTGCAAATGCAACTTATAAAGTTAAAAAAAAATATATTAAAAATATTAAAACCAAGATTACTAAAAAATGTTAAAAATTTTCAAAATTGGCACTTTTTATTTTTTTATCTTATTTATGTAGTTCCATAGAAATATGTGAAAATAAAATCTTGTGTGAAAATGCTGAGCACTCTCTTTTTATCAAAAACTTTGCAACTTGTCTCTTATTCAAAAAAAAAAAAAAAAAAAAAGCTCCAATTTTAAAGGCTTTCAATATATTACAGCAATCTCAGTTTCAATATATTTCATATTCATTTTCTTGTTAATCCAAGACAGAGATTCCAAAATTGAAAAATGATTGAGATTTTCGTGACGATCGATATCTGAAAGTCTAAACTATATTCTAACTTAGTGTTATGTGATAAAGACTTGCTAGTGAAAAAATTCTAATTTTTCAAAAACCAGCAATAAATTCCTCAAATAATGTAATTAAGCAATTTAAAATTTTAGGAAATTCATATTTAGGAAGAGAAAAGACTTGCCTTGGAAAAGTTAAAAAAGTAAAAATTAATTACTAGCTGGACTGTAGTCCTTCTGGGATGTGAATTTAAATATAAATTAAAAGTGAAATAATATCATAAATATATAATAATAAATAAATAAAAAAACTAAATGTCTAGATGACTAATAATAATAAATAAATAAAAAAAACTAAATTGCTAAATTACTGTTGTTTGTATTAATTTTTAAAGTTTTAATGTTGTTTGAGTACCTTGGTTTATTGTATCCATTCATGAATGCATTGTCTTTACAGATGGTAATCTATATGTTTTTCAAGCAATAAATAATTAGATAACCAAAGAAAGAAAAAGAAATTAATAAGACTAAGGGGGTGATTTCCATTCTTCCAATAATTTGAATGCGGTTATTAGGCGATTTTTTTTTATCTGTCAAACTTTTATCTAGTTGAGACTAAAAACTAATCTTCCTTTTCACCCAAAAATAATTTTTTATATATAAATTTGAGTTAATAACTCTGTATTTTTGACTTAAAATGTTTGATAAAATTTGACTTTTTTATTTTTTATTTAATTAAGTGTAGTTTAGGGTTTTGAGTTTATTCTTATTTTTTTTGTTTTTTTTGTTTATATTAAATTTAGAGTTTGCCAGAGGTGCTGTCAAATTTGTTCTCTTTGCTTGAGGTAATTTTTCATTGCATTTATTCTTAACAATGTAAAAATAATTTGAGTTAAATATTTGTTTGTAACATTTTGTTTACATTTAAAATAAGGCATAGAGACTAGACGAGAGATAAAAACTCTAAAAATTGTTTATTTATTCTTCCAGTAAATTAATATATTTTTTTGTTTCAATAATATTGTTTTCATTTTTTAATACATTTAAGTTGAATTTTTTATCACAAAAAATGAGTTCTATTCAACTGTTTACATGTTAAAGTAATACAATGATATTTATTCATGTTATGAAATTGTTATATAATTTTTTAGACTTTTTTTTTAGACTTGCGAGCAGCTAACTCAAAGTTGTAACCTTTACATCTCAAACTCATTTTATCAGCAAAATGAAGTTTTGCGTGCTTCTCAACTTAAAATTGGTATCTTTTTTGCATTTACATTTTATTGCTCAATAAGATTATTGTTAAATCTCATCTGCTATCTTCATCTTTGCTTATCTTTGCTCATCATTATCTGTAATTTTTGTAATCTTTTCTTATCTACTAAGTGAATTATGTTATTTAGTAAAAAATAAAATCTTTTAATATTTTTTTCCTCAAATTTTTGTTGGTAATAATTTTCAATAATTACTTATAATTATAATAATTTAGCTATTAAAACTGGATTATACACAATTACAACAGAATTTGGTTACCAGATTAGGTAAATATTTAAGTTTCTTGGGTTTTTAAATTATAATGGCTTTTGTGAAATCTTTAAAATATAATTTTTATTTTTTAGACTTTATTTTTTAATTTTCTCAAAACTTGATTAAGATTTGAGAAAATGAATTATAATTACAATTCTAACTTATTATTACCCCCTCTACATCTGTTTTATAACTATAAAAAACAAAAACCTTTTCCAGGTTTTAATTTATAATTTATTTCAATGTATTCTTTAATGTCATCACAACAATGTTATTTTAAATTTTTTTTTTTTTGGTTTTATGTTTTTAAACTAATGATTTAAATTTTTTGTTTTTTAGTGGGGTCGTGTTAGCTGCTGATCATAAAAAAAAAATGTTTGAGTTTTTGGAGTTTGCTTGTTAATAACAAAGTCTGTTTAACTTGGTACAAAGTGTGAGGTTGACTTGAAATATGCAAAATGTTTGGTTGTTACTTGGAAAATTGTAGAGTTTGATTATTACCGCAAAAGATTTTCAGCTAATTTGTAGACTTTGTGAAGTCGGCATAAAAACATTAGTTTGCTTGTTAATAGACAAATTATTAAATCACCTGTTAACAATATAGTGGTTATTATGTTGTTTAATTTTTTTACCATTTTTCTTTCAACCATATAACCTTGAAACAAAAACTTGATGAACAAGGCCGCTGCCTGTAGAAACAATTCGAGCGTAATATTACAAGGGATGTGGTGGGTATTGAACTCTACATCTTCTACCCTTCTGCTAAAATTTCTGGCTTTTTATTTATCCTAATTTTATCCTGAGTTTCTATTTATTCACAAATTTATATCATACAGTTTAAAGATTTTTTTATTTTTTTAATTTAAAAACAATTTTTTCTTGCAAATGATTATTATTTGTATTGTTATTATTATTGTATATTATTTTTTATTACATTAAAGATATTCTATTAGTTATATCATTATTTTTATCATTATCTAGAGTAAATCAGAATCAAATGTATTCCATATGGTAGAATTGCCTTTTTTTACCTACCATACACAGATATATACCATACACAGATATATACCATCACAGATATATACCATACGTAAGTCACCCAAATAAGAACCTTAACAACTCAATAACAAAATTTTTGTATTCTTTTTATATTCGTTTCTTTCATTTTATTACAAAGTTAGAATACATAATGACATAGGATAATAATGGAATATTTATATATTGTTAATTGCTTTCATATATGAAAACAATTCACATATAATGTTAATAATATTCTTAAATATTATTAAGTAATATCATTAAAGATTATTAATCAAACAAATTAAAATAAATGAATTAAACTAAAGTTTTAAGCTTATTATTTATAAGTTTGTTTCTATGGTAATTGTGTAAAAAATGTGAAAACTTTGTTTTGTGTATTTAAATGACACCAAGTATACGAAACAGCTTCTTAAAGTTAACAAAAGCAGATAGATAAAGTAAAATTAAAAAAAGAAAGCTTTTTTTGTGATTACTTATTTAAAGTATTAAGAAGGAGATTTAGATCATCAAGATTCTGATTGATCCTGATTATCTAACTAACATGGCAGAATATTAACAGCTTAATTTTTATAAAATTTTATCATTTTAAAATTTTATAAATGTTTATCATTAGAAATACAGAGCTGGAATGCACAGTTATGTGAATAAAGG